GATCTTAGTGATAGATATGAATCGAAAATGAACGAGAAGATTAGACCTATCAGTGATATAAAAGATTGATCTAGTTGGGTACCTAGAGAGGTTCTCCTCTGTTCAATTTTAATAATTGTTCTACCGTATCTTGTGGTTGGTCCTGTGGACATGTTTCAACCTTTTATGAATGTTTGAACTTTCGAAATATTTCGTTGGTTATTTGTGAAGTGACTTGAACTCATTACTTATCTGGTGTACATAAAAAAAAAACCCTCGTTTTTGTCTCGCATATTATGATTGACTTGATTTAAACAAAAATTTGAGTGGTCATTTGGGACCAAAGAAATCCGGTTATTTCTAAAATTATTAATTTTGGAGATCAAATGCCAGTAAATGATTTTTGGACAAATTGAGTCGAAGATTTTGGTAAAGTTAGTTTTCTATCGAAAATATATCTTCCTATTCGAGTTTCGAACCATCAGATGGAATCATTTAACTAGACCTTTAATTGACCCTGAAGTTGACTATTCTTGTGAAAACCCTATTTTCGTGAGTGGTACAAGTAAAGTGTGATTGTTGCCCTATAGTTTGGAGGGTCGGAGTCCCATGAAGAAATCAGTGCTTAATTGTTAGTGCAAATTATAGAAGCTGTGAATTTTGGTAGATCTAGTGGACCTGGCAAATAAGGGGTACGCTATTATCGTAAGTGTGAATTTCGAGGATGAAATTCTTTTAAGGAGGGGAGTTGTGAGGACCCGAAATTTTCTTATTTTATTTTATTTTACTGGTTTAATTAATTATTTACTCACACGTTTTGTCCGAATATTTTATTTCAACCTTTTATTGCTCAAATACATGGAATTATGGCTCACATGTATTTTAAAAATGACTTGATTCCAAAAGTTATTATTTTGAAAGCTCGTTAAGTGAGAATAGTGAATACATGTTTGAAGACTATAGCCGATTTGAGAGTACAATGAGCTTGAAAAATTGGAGACTTGTACATTAGCCTTGAAATAGGTATTTTTATGTTTAAGTGCTCAAGTGATAGTTAGTTATACTATCGTTATAGAATTTCTTGAAAAATTCATTTTATCACGCACAAATCGGAAGTACGTGTTTTCACGCGCGCGATTAATTAAGGGACTTTAGACCTTTATTTTTTTGACCATTAAGAATGAATAATAATAGTATGAATATAAGTGCATTAGAGGTTTAGTGCACAAGTGAAACAAATCCGAGCGGAAACGAGCACGAAACGCGCGCGTATGCGCATTAATGAAGAGTTGACTTTTGTGCACCAAGCCCCAACAACCTACCTTACTCTAGAAGCTAACCATATCAGATTTTTACACTCTCTCTCACCCCTCAAGCTGGCCGAACTCCCTAAGGAGAAGAAGGAACCAAAAGCTTCATCATCTCACTCCATTTTCTTGCTCCAAATCACTTCAAAATTTACACCCAACTTGTTATCCACTTGGAGATTCACTTAGGCAAGGAGAAGAGCTTCATTTCCATGGTTTCTTGGAGCTTTCTTGTGGCCAAAAATCTGACCTTTAGCATCTAAGAAGGTATATGACGATCAAGCCCTTAAATCTTGTCTTATGGAAGTAGTAAAACATATATAAGCTCATGCATGCATGTGGGTAGCTTGTTTATGTTGAAAAAATTGTTGTGTGGGCTCTATGAACTCCCACTTGGATTGGATGGACTAATTTGATGAATGATGATGCTATTAATGTTGGTTTAGTGCTTAAATTAGTGGATTAATGTTGGATTGTTGGTAGAAATTCAAGGAAGGTGCAATGAACAAAAGTGACCATTTTACCCCTGCCATGTTCGTGCAATTTGGGGCAAAATTTTGAGGTTCTAATGACTTGTTTGTGATGTATACATGTTATATGAATGGTGTAGAAAGTTTCATTGAAAAATAACATGATTTGGTTGGTCAATTGTAGTGATTTCAAAGGTTTAGTAAAACTGGAAAATTTTCCCGGATTGCCCAGGCAGTCTTTTTCTTTCAGCCATAACTTTTTACTCCGATGTCAAAATCGAGTGCTGTTTGTGGCACTGGAAACTAGACATTCCCAAATTTCCAACGGTATAAAATTTACATCCTGATTCCAATTGAGTAATCTGTACTAACCGTTTGAACTTGGCTACCCTGTTTCGTTAGTTCCCTGGAAGGCAGAACATGAACTACAACTTTAGGCTCCAATGTGGACTAGTTGTGGACATATTTTGAAAATGATTTCTTCTGAGAAATTGTAGCTTTATAAATTTGTTTTCCAACTCCACCAACCACGTCCAATTCCGAGTTGAATTGAGTGATTTGTAGCCGTATTTCAAAACTGACTTCTTGAAGGAAAACCCTCCTTTTGGGCAGAATTGTTACTAAACTTGATTGAGACTTGTTAATTCGAGATTCTTGGGGTTAATCACCTACCAAACCTATCTTGGAATGTTTATTAGACCTTGTCTACACCAATGAACCATGTTTGAGGAAATTTCCTCAGCCAAATGCTTGAAAACGGAAAAACGGAAGTCCGTGACAGATTTGCCTTGGAACTTCTTGGGACTTTAGTGGTTTTGTTAACCAATTTCCAGATTGAATTTTCCTATGAAATTTGGTATAGGATTGGCCCTTTTACAGTAGTGTAATACCACTAATTTGGTGCCATTCCGAGTCCATTTCGATACTCGAACAAAATTCCAAAGTTGGTACTTTAAACCTGGAAATTTCATTATTGTCTCAAATTTTCAGCAAATTTGAGCTACTATATCTTGGTGCTCAAAACTCCGAATCTTGTTCCGTTTCTCTTGTCTTAAACTTGGATTGCAACTCTAATAGAGTTCCAAATTTCAAAGGTTAGTTCAAATCAAGTGAATTTTGCCGAATTTTCGAAGTTGGCCGAAAATCGACCTAAACCTGTCTCAAGTGTCCCAAAACAGCAACTTTGAGCTAAATTTTGAGTACTTTCCGTTTGGAATCATGGAAAAGTGTATTCTAAGAACTTTTAGTACTTTGGAAGTAGTTTCCAACGGTACCAAATTTTCCAATTTTGGACTCATAGAGAGTGAGATCTGATTTTTCAAAGTTTGCTTGCTGAATCTGAAATTTCCGAACTTAAAGGCCTTAAAGGAAATTGAGGGTTTCAAACTCTCCATTTTCCTCCGATATTGCTAGACCGTTTTACACTTGATTTCAAAGGCGAAAATCAGATTTCTCTTGTGTTTTTGAAACCCACTTCCGAGTCTCGATTATAAATAATTAAGGTTCAATTCATGAATTCTCCTTAGATTGTACACTAGTACAACTTTCTTTGATAAGTAGGGGTTCTAAGTGATAGTGTATAATAATTGATGGTTATTTGCTCAGGCGCTCAATGAGACCTTCAAGAGAAACTCGAAGTGGACGCCTAAACACTTGTTTGAGTACTTACTCACTTGTTTTGAATAGGTGAGTGTTCCATATAGGAGTACGTAATTTGAATAAGTCTATGACATGCTTATCCCATTGTCATTAAGTGTTAAGTGCTACATGTTAAGTATTTACCACACTCATGCATATCTAAGTAAGGTATACTTGAATTACTAGATATGAAATACTTGAAAAGCATATTTACGTGACTACTTGAACTACTCGATATGAAATGTTTGAAGAGCACATTTACATGACTACTTGAATTACTCGATATGAAATACTTGAATTGCATATTCATGTGATGTGTTTAAATGATTAATTATGCTATGGCTGCATAAGTCGGCTGGAGTGAACCTCCTCGACTCTTAAGTGGTAAAGTGAGAAACGGCCAATGGTGGCCTATTAAAATGACTAATGTCTACCAATTAACCGTGATTACTACCGTTAACCGTCAACCGTTAACCGTTTACCGTAATTACTTACCGTTTTCCTATCTACTTGATTACTTGATTACTGTAAATTACATGTTCACATGAAATTATCAAATATTGCTTACGTGTTTATGTGTTAATTGTTGCTAGTAATTGCTCATATGAAATTTCCACCATTTTAAGGCGAGTGTGTACTTTATCTCACTCGACCTACCAAAAGAATAAATTTTTACCATTTGCCAAGTTATTTGATTACTTGTGCATGTTGTAAGCTCTAAACTGAATCTGAGCCCTGCCCTTAGTTACTGACCTACTCGAGCCAAGACTGGGCTCGGTCGGGTAGGTTGGAACCCTGGGCTACCGTTTCGGTATACTCGAGTACTACCATTGGAGGGATAAGGTGATGGCCAGACAAACCGAGGATCTCCGGAAGTTATAAGGTACAGATGACCGACATGATTCCACTGAAACACCGTATCCTTCAATGTGTGTTTATTTTGCATAGAGATAACTATTTCATGCAAATGTGCCAATGTGCAAATCTTGACTCATACCTATGACATGCTCAAATTACTCGTACCATGATAATTGTCTCATGTTAATGTGTCATACCTGTGATATGGTCAAAGTACTCGTATAATGATAATTGTCTCATGTTCATGAGCCAACGTGCAACCCCGAACCATACATGTGGTATGCTCAATTACTTGATTTATTAGAACTACTAGAGTGTCTTGGAACCTCACTGGATTGTGTAGCTCATCCCACGTTTTTGTTCTCTTTAACAGGGTTCGAGACCAAAAATGCTCGTGAATAGTACTAGATAGCTTTCTTTTGAAAATTTTCAATTGTATTATAGTGGATGGTTATAGTACATATTCCGTTGGGTTGTACTTAAGTTTGAAAGCTAAATAATTGTATGTGTGAAATATTTTGGAGTACTTTAATTATGTATTGAAGTTATTTGAAGTATTCCGAGTTTTGAATTGTGGATTGTACTGAGTCCTGGCAAGAGGTGGGCAGGCGTCCCGCGGATACCCTTTGGTTCGCCTTAGGGAGAAATGGGGGCGTCACAGCCTGCCCAACTCTGGCCAGGACTCAGTCACTCACGTCAAGAAAAATAAGATATAACCTCAAGAATAAGTGAAATAACAGTTCCCAAATTTAGAACGTATACTTACATACATTTTTATCTCAAATAGTAATACAATCCCAAATAAGACAAAGGTTCTAAATTCCCAATACATTCAACCCTATCCAAGCATTAGTGCGAGTACAATCGTAAAAATTCAAAAGAACTAGACCATGCTAGTTTGTACAGGTCTCACGCCCTCGCTCGCATCCCTGTAAGGAAAACAAAACTAACGGAATGAGCTAAAAGCCCAGTGAGATTCCATACACATAATCAAATAACTAAGTCGAAGACATTAATCATTGAAAAACAAATAATCTAGAAAACATTTACAATATAAAAACAATGGTAACACATTCGTTAAAAGGATACAAGCTCACGTGGAGCCATTCGTTCAGTCATTCACCAACCATTTCCTGATTCCTCCAATCATTAAAAACACATTTGTAAGCGAAAACCCCTTCATTGTTCTTGTCATCCGTTCCTTCATTTCATTTCCCCCACTAGCCAATTCACTGGCCAGTCTCCACCAATCTTCGTGGTCATACTCGAATATACCAAACATTATTCCAAGGTCACCAATCGCTCGACCGAGTTTGTTTCTGGCTCGAGTCAATTGGTAACGAAGGGCAAGGGCCCAATTTAGCCAAAAGATTTACATTCATGCACAAGTAGCATTTAATCATTTAATCATTAACAATTTCACATTCATTTAGGTCGAGTGCGATAAAGTACACACTCGCCTAGTAAAATTCATTTTTAGCAATCACTGAAAACATTTAACATATTATCAAACATTCACAACAATCCACAATGTCATTGGAAACATAACGTACAAAGAACACTCACCTGTTTAAACAAAGTAACGTCCAAATTTCCTTTCGGATAATACCGTCAATTACCGACAAACCCTAAGAATAACCAAGAGAAAATATTACTGTTCAACCATCTAAAGTTTTGGTGAATCAAAGAAAGTCCGAATAACTACTAGTACAATGTATAAAGATGATTTTTGGAGTGAAAAGAGTACATTTAGACCAAAGGACATAAGTAAAATATTTGTAAAACTCATGCTCGCTCTTAAAACTTTGAAATCTCCATTTGAGTCGAAGTGACGAGGAAAACGTATTTCTATTAGTCGTTACTTTCATTTTTTTCAAGGGTACAAGTTTCGGCCGAACTCTAACTTATATACCTCTACAAAAGAGGACTCAAATAACCTAGACAATTCGAGTTAGATTCATCCTCAAATCCTTACTCAAGTCGCGAGTGTATCTACCTAACCCTCGAGTGAAAATTTGGGCAGCAGGCCCTTTGTGTTTACCTATTCTCCAGCCATTTATGGCTTCATTATTTTTCTCAATTCAGCCCCATAATCACACACAAGCAATGTTACCATCATAGCCCTTCAGTTAGGCTCCAAAATCATCCAATTACAACACAAGTCTAATAATACAACCGGAAATCAGTTTTTAAGACAAAAGGCTAAAAGCAGATTTGACATCTTATAGCATTTTGGTCACAACTGGAGCTACGTTTATCGGATTGGGGTGAAATTTATACTGTTTCGAAGCTAAGCCAAAGGGTTACAACTTTCATGAAAATAACTCAACCCAGTTCCCAGTTGATCTAGGTCAAATTTGCATATTACAGAACCAGAATTTCATTGTCAGTCTGGTTATCAGCACTGGATTTAAATGGCAATAACTCAAACTGTAAAATTCCGATTGAGGCATTTTCAGATGCGTTGCAAAGCTGAAACATAGAGCTAAAATTTAGTGTTATGGCCAAATGCTGATTTGATATGGATCAAAGTGAAAAACGAAGCCAAAAATGTGAAATCTCAAAACTGCACGCGAAAAAGAACATTTGGCAGTCAGGGGTATTTCAGTCATTTCATATGTTACAGTGCTCAGATTGAGTTGAAGTTTTACAGGTAGCTATGTAACATTATTTCCTACAACTTTCATGTTTTGACCTAAGCCTAATTAGGCCTCTAACATGGGCGAATGAAGTTGGTCAGAAGCAGGGCAGTTCATCATCAAAGCTGGAAATTTCTCTACTAAAGCTGGAATTTTATAACTGAAGCTGGAAATTTCAACCAAAGCTGGAAAACCATACACCCAAGCTTAAAAGTTCACATCAAAGTTAAACCATCTCATATCAAAACTATCAAGTTCATCTCATGGCTGGAAAATGCATATCAAGGCTGGAATTCAACATTAAAGCTGGAAATTACATGCTACCCTAGCCAAAACCATAAAATCTTTCACAACCATGCTTCTTTTAGCTTCAATCATAACTTATCTTGAATGAATCTCAAGAGACAAATAAAAGAGATGTTTTCCAGAAACGTACCTCAAACCCCAAGCAAACAAGAGTTTTATTCCTCCAAAAACTCCACCAAGGTCTTCTCTCCAAGCTTAACTTAAGTTTAATCGGTATGGATTTGGGTTAGTGTTTGATTTTTTTCACAAAGCAAGCAAGGAAATCAAGATGGAGTTTTTCTCTCTACCTCTCCTCTCTCTCTCGGCCAAGCTTACAAGAAAATGAAATGGTTGGGTTCAATGTGTACAAGATGAAGACTAAGAAAGGCTTGGTCAAAGGGTCTTGGTCAAGACCTTGGATAGATTTTTTTCCTTTTTGTTTTTTTCCCCCTAGCTCACGGTTCTTTCCCTCTCCTACTCTTAAGTTTTTTTTGTTTGGTTTTAAGACATGAAAGATGAATTGGTGATAAGACATGATAAGAAAGTTTCTTAGTCAAAAATTGTGGCTAGCTAGTGACACTTGGCACCACTAATTTTCCTCTTGTTTTTTTTTTTCCTTTCCTCTTGTTTTAAGTCAAATATTTCGGCTGATATAAGAGATATTTAGGGTTGATATTTATGAAATAAAAGCAAGGAGATTAAATTAATAAAATAGTGTTCAAGTGGTGCACCCGATCAGCAACAAACGGTGCATGTCGGTTCAAGCCGTTTTTCCTTAACTTGCCCGTAACAGTGTTTTCACTTATGATTCACTTACTTATTATTATTACTTCTAATCACACATTTTTTTCTTATATAAACTCACTCTTAACCACCAAATTTAGTACACAAACCTCTATACCGATTACTCACACTACGAAAAGACGTAAAAATCCTAAGTTTCCTTAATGATGAAAGTAAAGGGGGAACCCTTGGTTCTATGATTAATTGTAACTATTAGGGAAGTGAATGAGTAGTAAAGCTATTGTAAAGTAATAAATTCCAAATTAAAGGGAATTTAAAAAAAAGATAAGGGATTTTACCAGTCCTCACAAATTCCATATGAGATTGGTCATAACCATATCCTAATTGACTAGTACTCCAATTTTGGCTAGATTCATGCTCATAGGTTGGATGTATATCCAAATTTTGCATCTGCTCATCGACTCCTCTATATCTTTGTGACCCTGAATGGTGAGAAAAAGTATCCTCGCTCGAAAACTGACTTAAATTATTGATGAATTGACGTTGTGCTTCTATTCCAGGACGATTGCCATGATCAGTATCTTGAGTGGCATAATAATTATCTTGCCCGTGACCCCATGACATACCTCCTGTTTGTTGGCTATCTTGATTGTAACCACCCCTATGTTTCAAAAAATTGTCCCCTCCATCTTCATTATCATCGTTACCACCGTCACTTTTATTTGAAGATGATGAAACTGCATGTTTACTAGTTTATTTAGCCTTACTTTTCTGCTCCCTACTTGATGATTTAGCGACCCCTTTTTTTATTTTTTTTGGTAATATAGTGGGACAATGTACCACCAAAACCACTATTGTCATGTTCTTGATATTCATCACTTTCTGATTCAATTTGATGAATGCTCTTATCCAACCAATCCAGATTATCTTCAGGCAATTTAGGTTGTTCATTTTCTCTTATCCAATCATCCAATCTATCATCTTGAAGAAAAATGTGATTTAAGTCGATTGGGTTATAGAAATCATCAGTATCTCTTTGATGCATCAAATTTTTCACTTTTAATTGCATATTGTAATGCACAAAAAATAATTTATGCAATTTTTTAACTGCCAAATGGTTACGTAGTTTTGTATGAATTAATGACCATATACTCCAATTTTGCTAGCAACCAGAGGATGTGCAAGTTTGACTCAATATTATCACTGCAATCTTCCTTAGATTTGGTGCATCTTCACCATAGTTAAGCCATCATTGAGCTAAACAAATAAAGTAATATTAAATAAAATAATAATAAAAAATTATTATTATTATTTTAAGATTATAAAAATATTAACTTCATTAATATGATTTAAATGTTTATATAAGTATGAATTGAGTTGAAACCTGGTAAAGGCTTCAAAAATGCTCTTACTGTAATCGCACTTCCAAATTCTCCTTTTTAGTGTATAAAAATTTTGATCTACAAAAATAATATATACATAGGTGTTAAATTTTTAAAATTTTTTCATGAATATAATCATGAATATAAATAAATAAAATAACAAAAGAATACCTCATTTATTGCATCAACTTGTGCATCCTAATTTGGCTCCAACTTTGCATGACTTTCTTCAATTCTTTTCGAACTTCATCCATATTAAACACACAAGTTCTAGAATATTGAAGGGCTGGGTTCAAAAAATATACTAAATAAAATAAATCACAAAATTAGAAAATAAATAAATACACATATATTACATATTTAAATTGCATGTAATATTTTAAATTACCTGCTGCATGTAAATTACAATGAAGTTGGTTGTACCATCTATTATCAATCACTTCCCAAATCTTTCTTCATGATTACACCGACTTTTGAATAGCCATTTTTGCTCTATCCATTGCCTCATAAGTAATTGGCAATGCCGGTTTATAATTTCGATCAATAGTTTTTAGAATTTTGACCAAAGGCTCCATTATTGCACACATATTTCTGACTTTTTTCCAGAGCTTCTCTGACAATATCAACTCAGCTACTTTAACAACTTCTGTTTTTCTCTTGTTAGTGTTATTGAACTCTACCCATTCATCTGAGGTGCACATTCTTTTCAATTCTGTAGAATGCTGAAGAAGACTTTCCATAGAAATGAATTCAGTTACAAATCTAGTGATACTTGGACGTATTAGTTCCATTTTTCCTGTATATATCTTCATCAGATTCACTATTTTGTTATTGTTATATATGAAATTTGTCATCTTCTTCCCCTGAGTAACAGTTTTTTTATATTATCTATTTTGCCAATATCCTCCAACATCAAATCTACACAATAAGCAGCGCAAGGTGACCAGAATAGATTTTTCTTCTTTTCATCAATAGTTGTCCAGCTGCTTTCATACTAGATTCACTATCTATCACAACTTGCACAACATTTATTTCTCCCATAGCCTCTATAACCTCATCCATTAACTTGAAAATACATTCAACAGCTTTCTTGACATTGGTACAATCAACTGAACTATGGTATATCATGTCCCTATCACAGTCTATCATAAAATTTATTAGTGGATGCTTTGTATGGGTGCTCCACCCATCACACATAAGTGTACAACCAAAAGTTGAAAATTTATCATAAATATCTCTAAGATATTTTCTCAAGCTCCTCAAATTCTTCGTCTGAATATTCATTTCCAATTTGATAAGTTGAAGGGCCTTTAATACCGGGACCAACTTTGGCAATTTCATCAATCTTCGATTGATAATAAGGATTGTCAGCTGCATGACATGGTATAGCATTGAAATGAAAAAACTTTGAAATTACCTTACCGACTCTTTTTATATTTTCCCCTGCAAACATTGATTTGACTGATTTTTATTTCAAAGGAAACATATGTGAGTCAATTCCTCTGCTTGTCATTTCATCTGCTTGTTTGACAATAAAATTGTGTGACAATTCTCTTTTATTTTCAGAAGGCGTTGGTTGTGAAGTGCCACTACTCATATTTCCTAGAATTAACAATGTTTAACAAATAAAAAATGAATAAATAAATTCCAACTTTATTTAATTATATTTTATAAAAAGATATCAAATTTGTTATAATATTTTAGTTTACAAATAATACCTGACATAAACATAGAAGGTCAACTCCCAGATATTGAATGCCTTCATTGTTCGTCTAAAAATTGCAAGTATTAACTCTCTCTATTTGCTTGCTTCATGTATTTTTTTTCCAACGCCATCCTACTTTCTTCATCAATTTCAAAAACATTTTCGTCCTTCTCGTCGCCAACTATGTTGAAATTATTATGCGTATTTTCTTGTTGTAGAGAGTTCAATATTTCTTCTTTTTTCTTTTTTATTGTAACTCTTTGAGCCTTAGCAATCTTTAGATGCATTTTTATTATATGTGTAACTTCTTTTAGTGCCCTTGGACAAGCTTCAACTTGTCCTATGACATGATTGATATGCTCTTTCAACCTTGTAATGCCACCATGCATTACTTTTCCACAATAATCGTATCTCACAATTTTTCCACAATAATTCCCACCCACGAGTGTACCATGTTCCCAACTAATATCCTTGCTTGTCATTGTAACTGGTCCATGTATCAATATAAATGATTAATCCATCATAAAATAATTAAAGATATATGAAAAAATACAACAAGTAGTTTAAGACATTTTATAACAGTAATAATTTATTTCTTTTTTTTAAAACAAACTCTTTAGATTTTATTCATAAAAACCAAATACAAGATATAGAAGCACAAAGTTTTAAGTACAAGGAAAAGTTTCTCCTGTCACGACAAAGTGTCTCCTCTCACGGCCCTCCTCCCTCTCCTAACAGCCGGTACTCCCAACTGATCAAGTCGAATTGCACCCCTAGCCAACACCGGAGCCGCCTCTAGGGTGTCATAAATTGTAAGCGTGACCCTCACATTAGCCAATACGTCTGCTACTTTGTTCGTCTCTCGAACACAGTGTCAGAACCTGCCCACCTCCGTAACCATTTGCCATATCTACTCTACCTCCGCCCGAACATGCCACGGGCAATGGAATCGCCATTGTAGAACGCCCACTAAGATTGCAGAGTCCGATTGAACAAACGGTGTGGCCACTCCCCATCCCGCACACAGCCGGAGCCCTATTAATAGCGCTAGAGTCTCTGCCTGTAAGCTGGTTTCTTCACCAAGGAACGCTGAGAATGCAAACACTAGTTGACCATTGGAATCCCTAATCACTCCACCTCCACCACTCATACTGGGATTCCCCTTGGAACACCCATCAGTGTTGAGTGTCAGCTGCCCAGTTGCACTTGGCTTCCAACGCACAATGGTGAACCCATACCTAGGGGAAGGGAGTTTGGCCACCATACATCTTCGGAAATGCACATGCATCTATCACCCGTGAAAACTGAATCTCAAACGCTGCTTTTATATCCCTGAAAATCGCCTTGCAGAGCTCTTGACTGTGCGGCAGAAACAGTAATAATTTATTTCTATTATATTAGTAAGTTAAAAATCTTATCTACAATGTAAACCTGCTACAATGATAATTTGTTCTTTTTTTTAAAGGAACATTGAAATTTTAAATGTTTATTAAAATTATTAGTGCATTATAGAAAATTAATCAAATAGCTGAACCTTTATGATTATAAGTATAATTAATTACTATTGTAGCTAAAGTCAATAAAGATGAAACCTCTACTAATAGCTATTTCGTAAAATTAATTACTAGCAAGAAAGAAATTTTATATTAAAAGATATATTAGTTATTTTAATATTTTCACTAAATATCATGTCGCGCCCCATTTTTGATAAGAAAAATAAAAAGACGAGTTTAGAAAAATGGCTTTTGATTCAATTCTTTGTTTGAAAATGAATTTTTTGATTTAAAAAGAAAATGAAAAACATAGGTCTAAATGGAACTTGAAAATGCGACGATTTGACCTAAAATATAATTTGAAAAGGGTTTTGAATAAAAATCAGAGTCGTCACTTAGTATAGAGTTAAGGTGTACCAAGTCACCTAAAATGAATTTTTCAAAGGAAAAAGTAGAAAAACCCCTTTTAAACGACTCCTAGTCTACGTAAATCAAAGAAAAAGGTTCGGAAGTCACATTTGAATAAAGGGAAGACAAGGATAAAAATCCGAGGCACCCTTTCAACCTAACCAAGACTAGTTGCGTAATTTAGTCAAATATTTTCTTATTCTTAACCTAAAAATTTATCACATTTAAATGTACTATATGAATGCAAACCCTAGACCTAAGAGAATATCGAGGGGTCAAAATTTCTCTTCAAAGCTCAATTGATGCCAATCACATTAATTGTGATGCCCAATGCAAATTCTTTGGAGAGGTCACGAATAATGCAAAAATATGAAACTCTAAGAAAAGAAAAAAGGAAACACAAATAATCATAATTATACGAATATACATGTCTTAAAGGAGTGCATCATGTCGGATACAAAGGACTAAGGTTCGTGACTCAATTTTTCCTTTAATAGAGGGGATACGAGCGTGCTAAGGCTAGAAAAGCCAAACTCGTCCATATCCCATATCCAAGGGATGACTCCCTAAACTAATCAAGCAAATGACCCTAATGACTAAAGTGAAATGCAAAGTCCTAAAGATCATACTTAAAATATGGGAAAAAAGGAAAGGATCATGCAAAAATGTAAAAATACTAACAAATGCATGAAAATGTAGTGAGGGCATGCAAGCATGTACTAGCGAGGGACGGCCCTATTGGGTCTAGCATTGGACTAACCCTTTACTAACGCTCTCTCACAGGCATTGGACTTGTGAGCGATCGAGAATAAGTAACCATGACTAGCATTGGACTAGCCACGGTTATATCGTACATTTGCATTCACCATATATATACAAGTAAATGGGCATAGTTAAGGCAAGTAAGCATGTGAGCACGTAATTCATATAGCACATAAACATGCATATCTAGATGCTAAATCCTAGGAAAGCGGTAACACATAGCACATAAGCATGCAAAACACACAAAGCAAACAAACCCTAACTATTACATTTGAGAGGGGGCCTACTACAATCTAAAAGGGGAATATGATATGAAATAATTAAAATAAATACCTAACTATTACAAATTTGGCATTCAAGTGCCTTTCAAATGATCAAAATTGAACTAAAATAAACATACAAACTAAAGCCAATAAAGCAAACAAATAAATAAATAAATAAATAAAATAGTAAAAAACATTCAAGAGGCATGCAATCAAACACGTAAAGTCACATAGGACACGTAGAGTCAAATAAAGTAAGAAATAAGAGTTCAGGGTGTATCTCCCTTGAATTGGGGCCCTAATGAAATGAAATCACTTATTTGCCCTCCAAAAAACAAAGAAAGGGTCAAGACATCACTTTAGTTAACAAATAATCACAAAAGATAAAAATAAAAATGAAATTGAATCAGTTAAATCATGTAGACAACCCACATTTAAGAAGTTAAAAGAAGAAGGGACTTAATTGCAAAGATTAACAAACTTTTGGGGCCAAAATTAAAGAAAAATAAAGTTTAGGGACCTATTTGCAATTAAATTAGGGACTTAATCGAAAGAGAATCTAAAATTCTAGGGCCTTAGCATCGTTAAGAAAAAATCCAAGGACTGATCTGCAAATTCGGTTACCAGATTCTTAGACAAACAGGCCATTGGCCATTTTTCTTATTTGTTTTGGGGCCGAAAACGCCCTAAGCCCAATCAAAACCCAATGAAACAGATGGGCTAACCTACACTTTCCAACAGATTTAAACACAATAAAAATAAAAAGAGAAGAGCATGCAAAACAGGACAACCGTCTACAACTTCTGATGCTTCAAGGACTCCTGCACTCCCACGAGACAACAGCTAGCAACAGGGATCTAAACTTATCATCGAAATATTTCACAAGGGGAAGAAAAATCTGGATGGGAAAATCAAGGGGTTGTACAGCTTTCAAACAAGATTGCCGAGCGTCAGCTTGGCTCTCCAACCCATGGATAACTAAGCAAACTTCTGATCAAAATAGAATGGAGAGAAAGGAACGGGAATAACAGGGACAGCAGCTATGCACAAATTTAAAGGAAAATCAACTCTAGTTAAATTATTCACGTATCTTGCTTTCCTTTTACATCAAAACCAAAGCTTCGTTGGTCTAGAACGGAACCCTGCTCAGCCTAGGGGAGCTGCGGCCTTTATATTCAAGATAACAATCCCAGCAGAGCAACGAAACCCAATATTCATCAGACTCCACAAACCCCCCCTTCAAACATAAGATGCATACAAAGGAATTCTAGGTTAAAAATAAAATTGACAAGTTCGAATACATTCACAGGTTTCTTGCTACCAAATGAATGATCTTCGGCCAGCTTTGGATTGACTAGAGCCGTACCTCACACACATAGACACACACGAGATTCATCAATTTTTGCTGCTTTGATTCAAAGTTTTCTATTAGGCATTTCTTCAAACACCGAATGGGCATCAAAGACATCATCGATTCGTGGCTCAATTGATACTATAACCAGCCCCAAAAATTTGCCACAACACACAAATTTCAGTCCAAACAATCACAGAAAGCATGTATGTTTCACAATCGTGTATAATCGACAACACTGCAATGAACAAATTCACAAAACCAAATAACATGCTTTGAAAGATTCAAGAATCCATGCTTGGAAAGAAACTGAAATTTTAAAAGAAAAAGATAACTTACAAAGCTCCTCCTCGGTGAAGATCCGCAGATGATGGTGATGGATATCTGATGAGGTGGTGGCAGCCCCTCCGTTTCTCGCCGCAGCTTGGCTCTGGTTTCTTGCCCGCAATTCCTTTCCTCCTCTATTTCCATTTTCAGCCGAAGCCTCCTTCTCCTCTCTTGCCTTGGCTTCGTTTCTCCTCAGCCCATAGCCTCTCTAGTTTCCCTTACTCTGCCGCTCCTCTCCTTTTTCTGGTTTTTCTCTGCTCAGCCGCCCCTCCAAACTCTCAGATTCCCTCTTCATGTTTTTCCAGATTTTTCCCTTTGCTCTCAGACGAAACTCCCTCTGTTTTTTTTGTCCGCTTGATCTCAGCTTTTTCTGTTGGTTCCCTCAACCCTAGCCGCCATTGGAGTCTTCTTTTTCTCTCCGCCATCCTCCCTTTTTCCTCTCCAACTTCCAGCTTTATTTTCTGATTTTTCATTGCTGTTTCCTTCCTCTCCGTTTCAGTCCGAATCTTCCCTTTTCCTTTTCTGTTTTGCCTTCCGAAAACCTCCCCAATTTTTTCCAGGTTTTTCTCTTGCTCTCTTTTTTTTTTTTTTTTGTTTCGGCCGAAGCCCCTTCCCCTGTTTTCTGGTTCTCTGTTTTCTTTTTCTCTAGCCCCCCAAACGAAGCTCTCTGTTTTTCCCTCTCAATCTCCAAAAGCTTCCTCAGTCCTGGCTTTTTTTCAAAAACACCTAGCCGCTCCCTCTTTTATCCGAAGCCTCCCTCCGTTTCTTTTTGGTTCCTCCCCCTTCCTTTTTTTCTTTTTGTTTTTCTCTTCCTTCAAATCTTAGGCCTCCAAGTGTCTAATATCTAATCCCTTAAATGCTTAGTTGTCCAATACATAAATGAGACACTTGTCCTAATGCAGGCCCCTCACTTGCCATTTTTATTATTTTTCCTTTTTGTTCCTTTTTCTCTCTTTTTTCCTTTTTTTTTTTGCAAAAAACTCTTAACTCAATTAAAATAAAACAAGAGACACGAAACAAAACAAAAATAAAATAAAATAAAATAAAAAACCTAAAATCGAAACAAATAAAATAAAAATTAAATTAATTAAATGAATAAAGTTTAAAATCAAAATTTGGTGTCTACATATCAAATGAATTTAGACTAATTTATTATGTACTTTGAATTATATGTGAGATGAGTGCTAAGCTTGTGTTTGGCGCAAAATAAATTCCAACAATACAAATTAACCAGATAAATCTAAATTTCTAAATTTTATTTTGGACACAATTATAATTAATCCAACCTGTAAAGGGCCACAGTTAATCCAAATATGTTTCTATTTCATACCTACTGACAAATATTGAAAAACTTAAAGAAATAAATTCATACTAGCTGACCCGCGGGAAAAGTCCTTATTTCAAAAGAAAGACTAAGGGAGGGCAATGAAAGGGCCACTGCTCAATTGAAGCTGACAACTAGCTATTTCGGATAGGAAAGAGAAACTTGATCGGTAATCACAAATCCCAGTTCTCCGAGTTGATTCCTACTATTCTAGGTACTATCTCGCTTCCCTAAGAGTGTCCAAATAATAAAGGAGATGAAAGAAAGTTGTAGACACCAAAATTTTAATTCTATTTAATTTCATTTTTATTTTATTTTATTTTTAGTTCACAAAATGATAGTTAGCTAATTTATTGAATTAGGGTTCATTCTCTTTTTTAAATAATTTCCGGAAAAAGAAAAGTCTCACAAAAATTTGTTTTTAATCTTTTCAAATTTAATTTCTTCAAAATAAATGAAAACTTGCAAGGCAATTTCAAATAGGAGATTAACATTTTGTTTACCCTAAACTTGTTTTGAAAAACAAAAAAATAATAAAATAAAAAAGGAAATAGGTGGAGGCCGTGCAAAATAACTAAGTGTGTGAGATAGGCATTAGACAAGTGTCTTTATTTTTTTTTTTATACCACAACACTTAAGAGCTAGGTGGCAAGGACACTTGTTGGATTGGGAGAAATTTGGAAGGAAAAAATGGGAGAAAAATCTGGAAAAGGAGAGAGAGCAAGAGATTGAGAGAGGGGGTGGCTGAAAAGAGAAAGAGAAATCTGGGAGAGTAAGAGAGAAAGGGAGAGACTCTGGAGAGCAAGGAAACAAGAGGGAAGTTGGGAAAAGGAAAAACGAAAAAAGAAGAAAAAGGGTTTCGGGGGAGAAAAAGAGAGGAAGAAGAAAAAAAAGAAAAGGGGGGAGGAAAGAAAGAGAGCAAGGAGGAATCTAGGGAAGGATCTGGGGAGAATCAGAGGAAAAAGGAAGGAAAAAACAAAAAGAAATAGAGAGGAAAGATCGAGGAAGATTGAGAGAAAAGTGTAGAGAAATTTTTGGAAAAGTGAGCCAGGGTTGGAGGAGTGACTGGGTTCAGACGCCATTTTTTTTCCTTCTTATTGACCTCTTTTAGATCTATTCTGGAGTTCTGGATACTCTATAGATGTAGGTGAAGAATTTTTTCGTTGGAAATTTTCAGATTAAAAGTCCATAAGCTCGTCAAATCTAGGCTCAAAAGTGCAGACTCATCAGTTCTTGAACAGCTTTCGCAGCAAAACTTGGTTTTTCACCTCTGCAATTTCACGCGTTTTGGGTTTGCTCCTGGTTTCATGCTTCTTTCTACCTTTTAAGGTGCAAAAAGGTAGTTTCTTTCTCCCCTTTTTCCACTCATATAGTGTTGAATCTGCATCAGAAAAGTTGAAACTCTTGTTGCAATGCTTCTTGTCGGCTTTCTTCCTTCTATATTTGCTGCCATTTGTGGATCTGTTGGGGGGGAGGACTTGAACTATGGCTTTATATCGTGATTTTGTCACCTATCTTCGTCACAAAAAAAAAGGAGAGAGTTAAACCCGTGAGTAAACTCAACTAGAGTTGTTTTCCATCAGCCATGCATTTTTTTCCCTTTGTCTTCCATGTGATGAGTCTTGCACAAGAAGAATTGCAAGTTCCTATTCTGATTTTTTTGCATGTTTGGATGTTGAATTACTGTGTTTGATTGCCAGAATAAAGTTTGATGTTTGGTTGAGATTTTATGTGAAGGGAAGTTTGCATCATGATCCAGAAGAAAATTGCAAAAAGCTTTCGGTTATAGAATGTCGCAGAAGAAAGCTCTTTCCCGAAGCTTTGCATGCAATTTTTAAAAAATTGCACTTTAACCCCTAATTTTCTAAATAATACTACTATGGCACAGAAATTTGGGAAAAGTAATCAATTTTGTCCCTTCAAAATGTTAATTTTCTTTGGTATGTTCTAATGTGATTTTCGGACAGATTATTTATGAATTTTAGGATGAAATTTGAGGTTTAATAATTTTGATAGATTTATAGTTTTTATTTGGATTTTTAGTAAAATAATTAAAATTTGGGTAATATTTTTGCTTTGGGGTTTGATGAGAGGGTTTTGATTTATTTTTGTGAATTTTAGCATTTGGTTTTGGTAGGTTTCATCTTAAGCCCTTTATTTTATTTTATTTTAATTTAGACCCTTAATATTTGTAATAATAATAATTTGACCCCTCAAACTTCTTTAATTGGGTAAATTAGGTCCTTGCTTATTTTAATTTCTTGAAGATGGGTTGTTTACTTTCGTTTAAATGATTTAATTGTTCAATTTCATGTTTATTTCCATCTCTTATGATTGTTTGATAATTAAAGTGGTGCCTTAACCATTTTTTTCGTGCTGGAGGGTAAATAAGAGAAATTTCATTTCATTAGGTTACCAATTCAAGGGAGGTACACTCTACTCCTTTATTTTGATTTTACTTGATCCTATGGTCTCCTATGTGATTTTATGTGTGTAATTTCATGCTTGTTTGAATGTTTTTTATTTTATTTCATTTATATATTTATTCCCTTTATTGGTTTTAATTTTGTATATTTATTTTAATTTAATTTTTGATTATTTGAAAGGCGATTAAATGCCAAATTGTAATAGTTATTTTATTTTGTTTCATTCTTTACCCCTTTAGATTGTAGTTAGGGCCCCCGAATGTAATAGTTTGGTCTTTATTCGCTTTTATTTGTTTATGTGTTTGCATGCTTGTGTGCTTATGTGTTTACTCGCTTTCTTAGGATCTTTGCATCTAGATATCATGTTTATGTGCCATGTGCTACATGTGATTATATGTTTACTTGCTTTATCATGTTTTATGTGATTTATTCGATTATAATAAATGCATGACGTCACCACACAAGTCCAACGCTAGTTGTGGCCCTTTTTTCCGATTCCACACTAGTCCAACGCTAGTTGTGGCCCTCATTTCTAATTTCTCACTAGTCCAACGCTAGTGAGAACTTATAGACATGAGTTAGTCCAACGCTAGACGCTTAGGGACCATCCACGCATTAGATCATGTTTGTGTGACAAATCACTACATTTCATGCATATTTTCTATTTATTTTAGGATCCTTACCATTTTTGCATAATATTCCCCCGAATAAATATCCCTTACCCCTATCCCTATATGCAAAACATAACATTTAGATTTGCATCTCATTTAGGAAAATTAGAAATATGTTAGATCATTTGCTTGACCAAAATTAGGAGAATTAACCCTTTAAATATGGGATATGGACGAGTATGGCCTTTTAGCTTTAACACGTTCGTATCTCCTCTATAAAAAAGAAAATATAGTCACGAATCTTGGTTCCCCACATCCGTTATGATGCATTCCTTTAGCTCATGTATATCCTTTAGCTCATGTATATTTTGTATATTATTATTTTCTTTTCTTTTTTTCGAGTCTCATATTTTGCATATTCGTGACCTCTTCAAAGAGTCACTCTTGGGCATCACAATTAATGCGATTTGCACCAACTAAAATTCGACGAGACATATTGACTGTGACGCCCCAAAAGAAGAAGAAAGAAAAATTTCTGGTGAGCAGTGTTTTGAGAGAATTCGGCCGCATACTGGCCGGATTGGCATGGTGATTTGAAAATAAAATTTGCAAAGCTTCTGCCTTGAATCCGGCTAGAATTCTGTCGTCGTACAGTTTCCTTAGTGATTAAGTCTTCATCTTTTGACTTCATTTGGAGTTCAAAAGCCACTTTTCTTTCTTCTCTAAGCTGACCGAACTTCTTGGGAGCAAAACAAAGAGAGAAAACTCCATTTTTCTCTTTGATTTCCTTCACCAAATCTTGAGAGTTTTCTTCCAAGTGCCAAGATCTACTCTGATTAACTTCACATCTAAGGGGATAGCAAGCTAAGGGTGGAGAGTTTTGAGAAGAAAAGGGTTTTCTTTGCTTGTTTTCAAGGTGTTGGAAGGTATAATCATTAGAAGCTTATTTTATTCTTTAATGTTGTGGTTAAGTTATTGGATGAGTTGATCTTGATTAATTTTACGGAAATTCTTGTGATTTGGAAGTTGGGATGATAAAGTTCCATATTAGTGATATTTCTAGACTTTATCTCAGTTATTTTGTAAGGACTCGCAAATTTTCTTATTTTAAACGCCTATTTCTAGCTCATTTAATTATTTATTTTTGCCATTTATCCCGAATATTTTATTTTGACTTTTATTACTTCAATTACATGGAATTATGGCTCAAGTGTATTTTTAAAATGACTTGATTTCAAAATTTATTTCTCGAGAGCTCGTTAAGTGAGAATAGTGAGTACGCGTTTGGAAACTGTAGCCGAACTGAGAGTACAATAACCTTAAAAAAATTGGAGACTTGTACATTAGTCTTAAAATAGGTATTTTAATGTTTAAGTGCTCAAGTATTAGTTAGTGATACTATCGTTATAAGAATTTCTTAGAGATTCCACTTTATCGCACACAATCGGT